TCAGTTTTCCCAACATTACTTATTGAAGAGACTGTTCCTTTCTTCATTGTGTATTCTTGGAGCCCCTGTTGAAGATTAACTGACCACTACATATGAGGTTTTATTTTTGGGCTCTCTATTCTGTTCCATTGATCTATGAGTCTATTTTTGTGCAAGTACCACATTATTTTGATTACTTTAGCCTTGTAATACAGTTTGAAGTCAAGAAATGTGACAACTTTAGCTCTGTTGTTCTTTCTTAAGATTGCTTTGGGTTTTCGGGGTATTTTGTGGTTCTATACAAATTTTAGGATTGTTTGTCCCATTTCTGTGAAAAACGCCATTAAAATTTTGATAGGGATTGTACTGAGCCTGTGGATTGCTTTGGGTAGTATGGATATTTTAACAATATTCTTCCAATCTATGAACATTTTACAAAATATCTTTCCATTTATTTATGTCTTCAATTTCTTTCATCGGTGCTTCATAGTTTTCATTATACAGATCTTTCACCTCCTTGGTTAAATTTATTTCCAAATATTTCATTCTTTTTAATGCTATTATAATTAAAATTATTTTCTTAATTACTTTTTTGGATAGTCTGTTGTTGGTGTATAGAAATGCAACTGATTTTTTTTTTTTAAATTTGAGCTTGTATCCTGCAACTTGACTGAATTCATTTAATAGTCCCAAAAGTTTTCTGATGGAGTCTTTAGGATTTTCTACATATGAGATTATGTCATCAAACAGATCTTACTTCCTCCTTTTCAATTTGGATGCCTTTTATTTCTTTTTCTTGCCCAATTGCCATGGCTAGAATTTCCAGTACTATGCTGCACAGAAGTAGTGAGAGTGGGCATCTTGCTCTTGTTCCTGATCTTAGGGAAAGAGCTGTCAATATTTCACCATTGTATATGATGCTAGCTATGGGTTGGTCATACGTGGCATTTGTTGAGATACACTCCTTTTATACTTACTTTGTTGACACCTTTTATAATGAAAGGATGATAAAGTTTGTAAACATATAAAGAAAATATTAACAAAACTAAAGGGAAAAGTAGATAGCAATATAATAATAGCAGGGGAATCTAATACCCCACTTTCAACAATGGGTGTATCATCCAAACAACAAAGCAATAAAGACACACGGGACTTGAACTGCACTTTAAACCAGATGGACCCAACAGACATCTATAATAACAGAGGAAAACATACTCTTCTCAAGCACACAAGAATATTCCTCAGAATAGATTGTACATTAGGTTATAAAGCAAGTCTTAAAAAATTTAACAAGATTGAGGGGTGCCTGGGTGGCTCAGCTGGTTAGGGATCCAACTCTTGATTCCGACTCAGGTCATGATCTCAGGGTCGTGAGACTGAGCCCCTCATTGGGCTCCATGCTGGGCGTGGAGCCTGCTTAAGATTCTCTCCCTCTCTCTCTGTCCCTCACCCCCCTAACTTAACAAGATTGAAATTATATCAAGTATAGTTTCTGATCCCAATGGTGTGAAACTTGAAACCCGTAAGAAGAAGAAAAGTGGAAAATTTACAAATCTGTAGAAATTAAACAACGTATTTGTGAACAACCAATAGGTCAAGGAAGAAATCAAAAGGTATCTTGATACAAACAAAAATAGAACACAACGTACAAAACCTAATGGGATGCAAAAATAATAGGATGCAACCAAAGCAGTTCTAACAGGGATGTTTATAGCAATAAATGCCTACATTAGAAGAAAGAAACATCTCAAATAAACAACCTAACTTTACAGCTCAAGGAACTAGAAAAAGAACATACTAAGCCCAAAGATAGCAGAAAGAAGGAAATAACAAAGATTAAAGATATAATAAATGAAACAAGAAAGATAATAAAGAAAGATAAATGAAACGAAATGGGTTTTTTGAAAAGATATACAAAACTGACAAACCTTTAGCTAGACTACCCAAGAGAAAAAGACAGATGGCTCAAATCAAATTATAAAGAAAGAAAGAAATTAAAACTGATACTACAGAAGTGACAACTATACACACTTACACGCCAACAACTGGATGACCTAGAAGAAATGGATAAAGTCCTAGAGACATACAACCTACCAAGACTGAATCATGATGATTCAGGTTGCCTTTGTGTAAGGCATGATGAGACAGATAATCTGAACAGACCAATCAATGAGAAAGGAGACTGAATCAGTAATTAAAAACCTCCCAACAAATAAAAGTCCAGGACCAGATGGCTTTGCTGGTGAATTCTACCAAACATTTTAAGAATTAATGCCAATCCTTCTCAAACTCTTCCAAAAAACTGAAGGAGAAGGAACACTTCCAAGCTCATTTTATGAGGCCAGCATTCCCTCAACATATCAAAACGAGACAAGGACACTCTAAGAAAACTACAGGCCAATAGCCCTGATGAACAATAATGCAAAAATCCTTGACAAAATACTAGCAAACCAAATTCAACAGAACATTAAAAACATCATACACCATGATCAGTGGTATTTATCCCTTGGAAGCAAGGATGGTTCAACATATGCAGATCAATCAACATGACACAACAAATTAACAGAATGAAGGATAAAAAAAGCCTATGACCATCTCAGTTGATGCAGAAATAGCATTTGACAAAATTCAACACCCTTTTTCTTCCCAAAGATCCCAATGTATTAGATCATGAAATGTCTTCCAAATAATCAAAGAAATATGAAATATTTAATTATGAGTGATATATTATTTTATTTTCATTTTTAAATTGATACATGGACATTTCATCAGAAGACTAGGCTGCAGAAGTAACTAACTTATGCAACAACAAGATTACAGAAACTTATTGCATTGGCTTTTCAAATATAAGAGACTGTACATACTTTATGACTTACTTAAGCTTGTTAATGACTACAAATATTTTACTGACAAGTTGGAGTTCAGATATTATAAAGGGGGAAAACAATTTTCATGGAGGTCTACTCTTTTCGTCTAAGGGATGAGAAATTTATTTCAAAGTTATAAAAATAAGCAGCAAAGAAATGAAACTTCTGGAAGCAACAGTGGTTTCAAAAGAGCAGAAATGAAAGGAATAGAATGTTGACAGGAAACACCGTAAGTGGAATGAAACAAATCTATTTCTAAAGTTGGGGAATCAGGTTGTAGGTCCTACAAAAGCTGCATGGAAAGTAACTAGATATGCAAATGTCCTTCAGAAGGCCTTGCAGGAAGTAGTGTGGATGTTTCAAATGTAAAACCTACAAGTATTTTTTTTTTTAGATTTTATTTATTTCTTTGACAGAGAGAGACACAGTAAGAGAGGGAACACAAGCAGGGGAAGTGGGAGAGGGAGAAGCAGGCTTCCTGCGGAGCAGGGAGCCCGATGTGGGGCTCGATCCCAGGACCCTGGGATCATGACCTGAGCCGAAGGCAGTCGCTTAACAACTGAGCCACCGAGGCGCCCCAAAACCTACAAGTATTAAAACACCTAGAGACTGGGCGCCTGGGTGGCTCAGTGGTTAAGCGACTGCCTTCGGCTCAGGTCATGATCCTGGAGTCCCGGGATCGAGTCCCATATCGGGCTCCCTGCTCAGCGGGGAGTCTGCTTCTCCCTCTGACCCTCTTCCCTCTTGTGCTCTCTGTCTCTCATTGTCTCTCTCTCAAAAAAATAAATAAAATCTTTAAAAAACACCTAGAGACTGCACCCCTGTTTTGGTAAATACTAGATGGGATTTTAAGGTCAGACAAAGCCAGGCGCTCTGCATACTTGAGCTGTTAGGGTAATTCATCAGGGGCAATATGCAAACTGGACTGTGAATATGCTTAGGGCTTATTTTGTTTTTACAGACAGCAACAACTGGCCGTGTCTTCTGGGGAACACGTGTGAGCATTATCTGAGAGTGCTGGGAACCTCCAGAGCCACGGCATGTGGTGCAGAACAGGCCACTAATGCAGGGTGTGTCTTCTAACTTCTGAATCTAGATTTCTTTCCATTATCGATACCCCAGAGGTTGAGTTCAGTACAATTCTGGCCTTGAAATTACAATTCTTAAATTATCTGAGAATTCTTCCATGAAACTTGGAGTATCTAGAACATTTTTTAAAAATAAGTGCTGTTCAGTGCTCCGATAGAGCAACAAATGAACCCCTCATTAGTGGCATCATAAATTAAGCTTCCTGACACTGAACGACTGCCTCCTCCCCCTACACCCCTACAGGCCTCCCGTCTGATGCCTGGTATTTGTCGGCTGGGCCCAGGCCTGCCTCTCCATGCACTGTTGTCAGGAACTCTGAGCTGGAGCCTGGCAAAAGTGAAATGGAAAGGAGGATTTGGCAGGAACAGACCCGTGGGCCACACACCATTATGATTCCCAGGCAGGGCCAGGCCCTCGGTGCAGAGCTGGCTCTCCCGCCAGGAAGGCTTTTCTGTATTAATAACTAGAAACAATTCTTGGAATATATAGGGTATCATGTCTCCAATCCTTACAATCTTTACAATCCAGTGTTAAATTAAAAAAAAGCAGGACAGAGTAAGATTCCAACTCACTAAAAAAAAAAAAAAAAAAAATCAACCACCCCTTATAGACACAGATGGAGAAGTAAGGGTGAAGGTGTTAACAACTGTTTGGGACCACAACCTCTGAAAATAAGTCAAGAGAGCACTTTTTTATAGGATACGAGGGAGAAGTCACCAAAAAGGATGATTTTCCTTTTCATGAAAAACTAGGTCTAGACCCCACAGGCCACTCTCTTCCCAAGGACAACTGCAATGCTGTTCTGAGAGCTTCACTCTCAAGGGTGTCCCCGGGCTTTAAGGCCAGACTCCCCATCTCTTTCTCTCCACCCTTTTTCGAGAAGAAGCAAATTTATCTGCTTTTTTATCTGCAAACCAAGTTAACTTAGCCCCATGTCAGGATTTAACATCTGAATTCTTTTAAAGTTTAGCAACTGATATAAAAGATTTATGTTATAAAGACAGATGCTTTACTTCCATCTTTGATAAAACTGATTTATTCCGAGAATGTAAGTGGTGCACTTACCCAGAAGAGGATGAATGTCTTCTCCAATGGTCAGGCTCATACTGTCTATTTCCTGCACCAAAGAGATATGAAAACCAAAACTCAGTTAATTACGTTTCTCTAAAATTCAAAGAGAAAAAAACCGCACATCTCTAAGCATGTATAAAAACAGCATGCTGAGTTGTATTTGGAGGACAGCACTTCATTCTCTTTTCTGTTGTGGCCACTGTCACTAAAAGTTTGTTGCACAATTATTCCATCAGAGTAGGAAACAATTAATTAAGAGGTGGCTCTGCTGATAGAAGGAAGCAGTGTCCCAACTGCTCCTCCAAATGCCAGTTTCAAGCACCTGCACGGTGTACAGACAGCCTCCGCTGCCAGTGACACCGGGAAATGCATCTGCATGTGCAGATGGCTCACAGGACACTTGGCCAAGGGTGGAGAAAGCAATGTGTGGCTCTTTCTACAGCTGAGTGCAGAGACCCCCGTCCCCATGTAGCTGGCCACTTTTCACCTCCCGCGACACAGGGAGTGTTGGGCGAGAACCGGAAGAGAGCCAACCTGCCAGTAAAATAGGTGGTTGTTTTCACATTCAGAAAATAACACTTTTCCTACAAAGCTTTCCATGCTTCTGCTTGACTGATGATGCCCACGCCTCTCCCGCCGAGGGCAGCCTTTGTGGCCCAGCTGCTCCGGCAAGTGGGAGGCTGGCAGGGGCTTTGGCCAAGGGCTGCATGGTGGGAGAGGGTCACAGCAAGGCCACAGCGAGGTTTCCAGGCCCCACCTTGTTACCACAGATGATCAGAGACAGTTTTACAACAGCCCAGAATTACCACCGACAAGTGAAAATCTGAAGAAATCACAAGCAAATGTGATTTGCTACTGACTGTGGAATTTAACACATCATTTCTCACCAACAGCAAGGAGGTTAAGATGTTCTCACTGTAGAGACTTTGAAGTTCCCGGCCCCAGGGAGGCAGGGAGGTTGTCACCTCTGCTGGTCCTGGGTCCTCTCCCCAGTTCACAGGCCAGGAAGCACATGCTTCACAGGGAGGCTGTTGCCTCTGGCCTTTCCCTGCCTGGCCGACGTGGGCCAGGCTCACGGGGGCGGCACGTCCGCCACTGCTCCTCCTTCTCCTCCTCCCTCCTCTCGGACTGTCTCACAGTGATTCAATACACTCATTCTGAGGCATTTTCAGTTTGACTTAAACAAAGAATTCTGTCTGTTAACTCTGTCTTGACAACTTTCTACTTAGACTACTTACATATCTCTAAAAAATACTAAAATAGGATTTCAAAGGTGGACATAAGCCCGCAAACGTGTGTGGGCCAAGTAAAAATGATGGAATTCTATCACAGTGATGAAACTGAAAAAGTGGATCTCCTGACCTTAAACAATGTTCCAGTTCTAATAAAAGACTGTATGTGCGTGTGTGTGAACATGTATCTCGTACAGAGATATCTGAAATCAGATAACATATTGGTACTGCCAATGAAACTTTTGTGAACATTTTTCCACGTGAGACAAAACGCAAATGATACATACTGTCCTTGCTTAACTACGGTCTTGCCAGAGACTTTTAATTTCTTGCACCTCCATGCCCAAATTCTTTTTTCTTTTAATTTTTTGAGTGCAGCTGACACGATGTTACATTAGTTCAGGTGGTCGGCAAGTGGTTCCACAAGTCTGCGTGTTCTGCGGTGCCCAACACGGCCTAACTGCCATCTGTCACCACATGCACCTGACGACACCAGCGACTGCTCCCGAAGCCTGCATGCCCACCCCAAATTCTGAAACCTGATCCTAACTCAGCACTCACCACTGCAATTTTGCCTTTGACCTGAGGTCTCGCAGGGCATGGGTTTCAGCCCCGAGCCCTCCTGCACCACCGTCCCGTCTTCCGTGTGACCACCGTGGTCCTATCCCCTGAGGAGGGATTTCCTGCAAACCAGGACACCTGGGAAAGCGTCAGGCTCTGGCTGTTGCATCTGTTATGGTCTCCTTGCTTCTACATAACCAGAACAGAAGACGGAAGACATGCTTCTCTAGGCCTTGCACCCAGTCTGACAAACATCCTAAGCGTTCCAAACGTTCCCTGAAATTTCAGGTGGTCATTGTACATGAGGGAACGCCCGGAGGCTCTGTCATCTGCTCAGGTCAGGTCACTGGTGAGTGGTGGGTCCTGCCTGTGAGAACCCACTGCAGCAAGCTTCCTCTGGGAAAGAGCAGACATATGAAGACAGCTCCAACACTCACTGCTCTGAGAGGCTCGAATTCAAGGACCCAGTGGGGCCACTGCACCTGGCTTGCCTGGAACCCCAGGACTCAGAGCTGGCAGGACACCAAAGTCTGCCCAGGCTGGATGCTGCTGACGTGGCAAGGAGCACAGTCTAGGGAGCGTCTAAGGGGAGGCATGCATGCATACGTGCTGGCTGCGTGCGCCACCACAGGCACACACCCTAGCCAAGGGCCCCAGCTGATGTGCTCATCTCCCCGAGACTCGTGGTCCCTCTCCCACCCGTTGCCAGGCTTAACCTGCAGCCCTCCCCACCCTGACTTTGTATTGTCTCAGGTTTCCTGAATTCCTGAGACCCAGCAGGAAGAAAAGGAGACAAGCCCAGGCCAGAGAGAATTAAGAGGAATGTTACCATTTCCTACACCAGTGACAGCAGGGACCCTGGGGAGGACTTTGTCATCTGCTTAGAGGAAACACAGGGAGGATTATGCACGCCCCGTAGTGCCAGGCTGCCTGAAAGATGTCCAGGATGCCTTCCCTCACCCTGCTTTCCTGAGCTAGGTAGGTGCCTTCTAATCCTCACCTAGAGGGGCCAGGGTCGTAGGTGTCTGACACCACAGCTTCAAGGGTGACAGGTGCCCAGGGTCCTGCTACTTAAACATACCTGGGATGGGATATCCAGACAGACAGAGCTGGGACCTGACTCTGCGCCCATCACACGCTTATATTTCAAACACAGTATTGGTACCTAAATTCAAACCCTGTTAGTATTACAAAATAGGAGCTTTGTATTGAAGGTGTGCGGGCTCTGAGCTCTACGGGGCGGGCTGGTGACTACGGGAATACCTACTCAGAACGGATACATGGAGTATCTAGTTTGGAGTGAACTCCAGGGCTCTGACCAATGCTGTGAGGCCCTGGAAGGTCTGCTCCTTTGCTGTCTGCCCAACTTTACCTCCCATGAGCCTCCCTCCCATTGACCCTTCCAGCCACACACGGCTCCCTGGGGCCCTGCCTTCTGCGCACGCCCCTCCCGTAGGCACCCCGAGGCCGCCCTCTCAGATACCCACTCACCGTGTGGATGCGAGCCCACAGCAATGGCTGTCGCAGTATGATTCAAGGTAAGCTGACAAACCCTCTTGTGGCCTCTGGGTTCCCTTTTGCAGTTTAGTTCAATAAACCGCAGCTCCTTCTACATTAAAAGCAATCTCAAAAATGCTTGAGGGGATGGGGAAGGGATTTGCCCTCCTCTAATTTAGGCTGAGCTAGCAACACTCAGATCTGGGTGGAGTCACCGCGTGCCTGTGCTGGACGAGGTGGGAATGGGGGGGCGCTGCTCCGCGCCCCGGGTTGACCGTTGAGGAGCTTCAGGTGACAGTGGTGTCAGGACTGGCTAGGTGGACTCTGCAGGGACACCTACAGCAGCTGTAAATCTTACAGAGCTCTTCTCTGTCCCCCAGGGCTGGGCATTAGAGTGGACACCCAGATTTCTGCCAGAACAAGAGGCAACCGACCGGGAGAGGCTCAGATTCCCCGCAGCAACATCCCAAGTGAGGAGATGCAGTGGCCACCACACAGGGCGACCGAGACACGCAGCTTTGCTTAATGACAAAGACTCGCTGTGCTTTAGGGTAATAATGTGAGTACTCTGTGAAATCTCTACACGTTTCAGGGCTTGCAAAAAACTAAATTAAATTAAAGGTTTGTATGTATTTGCAAGGATAAAATTGTAAATTTAGGTAATATAAAAGTCTCTACAGTTAGGCTTTGAAAACTAAGGAATTTTGAATTTAAATACTGATGAGGTTTTCTCTGTATTTAAAATGTAAATTACTATGTATTAAATTCAGCTTTATGCATGAAAACCAGACATCTGTACTACACACCCAAGAAGTAAAGAATTCATTTTATTTCCTTGATCACCCAAAAGGGTCTTACGTATACAAAAGCCAAATCACAGAACATATCAAAATACTCTTTTTTCATTAGAGGGATGCATTGCATGAAACCTTTACAAGAGCCTTTCTTTGAGTAAATTATAAAAAATAGGGTCTTGAACAGATGAATGGATTGACAGAAAACAGAGTGGCAAGGAGCAGAGATAGACCAGCACGGAGCTTGGAAATTCTGTCTCTACTTCACTCAGCAATGAAATTAGAGTATCAGCAGAAGCATGGTGCCAAGACAACAGCATTGCGAGCAGTCCATGGCCGCTGGCCTCTTACCTGGTCCCTGGTCCCTCCAGTGCTGTCCTTGGCCTGCCCGGCTGTACCCGGAGCTCGTCCTGTGGGAGCCAGATCCCTGCCTCCCCCACCTGCCTGTGGGGACACGTGATCAGCACGTTAGGAGGCTACCACAGGCCTAACCCCAAGTGACACATTACATCTAAGAGGGTAGCAAGGCGGCACCAGGTCCACAGTTCTCAAGCTTCGGTTTCCTTAAATCACAGGAAAAGCCCATGAAAAATGTGGACCGAGGGGCCACAGCTGGAATGGGAGGGTGGACGTCCGAATTTGAACATGTTCCCCCAGAGGGGACCCGTGCAGGTGACAGACAAGCAGCCTGGAGGACGCTGGGCCAGAGCAGGGCCCGTGGTCGTCAGTTCTGACTGACCCTGCCTCCCGAGGGCAAGGGCCCGACTCTGCAGGCCGCCAGCGCTCAGGCTCTGGGTGAGCAGGGGTCCCGGGACTCTGAGAGCCAGACCACGGTGTGCGCTCCCCTCGACTCTCCACACACTTAACCACCCTCAAGTTTCCTCTCTGACATTCCTGAGCTCTGACACCTTCTACCCCTTGGTCTCCACTAGAATTTAACATGACAAAGTCCGACTAAGCTCCTGCCAGCTGAAAGCAGCCTGCATTCTGCTGCCTGCAGCTTCTGCTCAGGAACCCGAGGCACTGGGCACGCAGGACAGGCCGCCAGCCCAGTTTGGGCACAGGCAACAGAGGCAGAGTGCTGCACATCTATTTTGCAAGGAACAAGCTCTTGCTCTGGGGTCTCAAACCCTGCCTACCCTCAGTTGGCGGGAGAAAACTAAAGGGCAGACAAAAGGGCAGGACGAGGTGGGAGCCTGTGACCCCGGGAAGCAGGGAGGGAGCCCCGCTCCTACCCCGCAACTCTCCTTCAGGCAGGCCCCAAACTGTCTCTCAGAATGAGACCTGCACGGCCAATGGCCAGCAGAGCCCCCGAAGGCAGTGTGGGGGGTAGGAATCAGGGGGTGTTCTCTAACCCCTCCAAGGAGAGAGAGGGAGCTGCTCCAGTGAGAGGCACAGACCCTAACAAAGGAGGGTGTGAGATAATCCAACTCATCAACAGGCTGATCTCTAAGACAGCCAACTTCCGGAATAAAGAATCATCCGGTCAGTAAGATACACTGTTCCATCTCACATGTTAGTTAACTGGTGAACGCAACAGAAGCTCCTCATCACTGGTGAAGGTGCAGAGGTGAAGGTTTTTAGAAAACAAGTTGGCAACATTTATCTAAATTTGACTGCATATTGACCTGTAGTTTGCAAACTATGGTGCTCTGTTTTAAGGAAATAATGTACATAAAATGGGAAAAAATGGAAGCCACTTCCGAGCTGGAGTACTAAGCATACGCACGCACACCACTGTCAGAGGGGAGTATGGACAAGCAGGATGCACAATCGCACAGGAGATCATCACGATGAGATAAAAGCACAGAAAAATAGTGCAAACACACATTACCTGTCCACATTTGTGCTCTTGACAGAATACAGGTTATTTCTATTTCCTTTTGTTTTCTATGCTAAATTTTATTACGAGAAGAAAGAGAGCCCACGGGGGAGTTCTGCGTCATAGGATGAGCAGGGCTGCCCTCTGGGAGACACTTTTCCTAAAGGGACCAGAACTGAAACTGTAGGTAGCAGCAAGCGTGGTCAGTCTGCATCGCATCCCAACCTCCCGGGCCGTCCTGCATTGTAAGGCCAGCCCCGGCAGGGGTGGGGGCCCGTGATGCCATGCCCACCTGGCTGGTGTGAGCGCCAAAGCTGCCTGCTGATGATGCGTCTGTTCTCCTTCACGCACGCCTTGCACACGACCGACTTCAGTGTGTGGAACTTGGTCAGCCGGGACCTCTACAAACAGAGCAGACGGCGTGAGCAGTGGCAGGCCTGTGCATGCACTCAGGAGACACAACAGTGGCCACGGGGTCCAAGGACACTGGGTGAGTGTTTCCTTCAACACTGAAACTTAACAAGAGGTTCTCAGAAAACTGACATTCTCCTGAGTCCCCAGGGAAATAACATTAGTGCTACATCCCTTCTGGTCTTCTGCAGGTTAAACAGTCACTTCCAAAAGATCTCCGAGTTCTGTGGTGACATCTGGGCCACGACCACACAGTCCTTCCAAACAAACCTGGGCCGGTCATCTGGGTCCTCAGCCCCTCAAGTGGTGACACTTCAGAAGCAGCAGCCGCGGGGCAAGGGATGGACCTGCCCCTCCGGGCCACTTCATTTACTGCTGACACGTGGCCCCACCTGCCTGAACCTGAGGTCACCCTGTCCGTGGCCAGAACATCAGACACGGGGCCACAACTGGGGGTTTGCAGGTGGTGACTGCAGTCTGCTCTGCTCTGACCCTTCCCCACTCCCGAACACGGGGACAAGCCCGATCTGAGCAACACCCTCCCTCATGACCCTGCCGCTGTCTGCACACAATACTAGCTGCTCCTAAATCCCAAAGGACACCCTGGGTTTTTGTTTGGTTTTTGTTTCTCTCCGAATGTTTTCTGTCTGATGTGAAGCTCAGGATGCTTTTTTCTCATGGGTGGTGACTGCTCTGCGGGCCGCAGGGTCTCGCGCATACTTGCAGCTATTACAGCATGCTCCAAGTGAGCTTGGCGGGAGCCTTCCTTGGAAACCGCCGAAGAATCATGGAGCCTGGACATCGCATAGCCAACAACCCCAACTAAACCAGCAGCCTTCAGGGGATATTTTCAAGTAAATACATGGTCATTGCTCCTATTGAATTAGTCTGATGTCTGCAAAGGCACCTCTGGGGAAACATTCCTTCTTGATTCAGGAAGGGTAAGGGAGAGAAAGCACTTCAAGAGGGGGCCGTGGTGGACTGGGTGGGGTGCTCCCTGCCATCCCTCAGCAGGAGTTTGGGGACTCAAGCCCTATGGCAGTATTTTGTGAGAAGCTATGGGATATGCTGACGCTGAAGCTTTCGGCCTCCCAACCTGTGTTTCTGCCTTCCTGGAATAATGCAACCCTCTATCAAAAGAGCAGTAATTTCAACCATGTAATCAACAGTGAGTGTAAACTGGGTAAAATTTCAAAGTCTGGGAACATGTCCATCCTCCACTGGGATGTTTCTGGGAGACATGTTTGCTGGGACAGAGAGAACTCATATCTGGCCAAGGACTCTGAGCATTAGGATGCATTTGGGCACCTGACCTCAAACCTACTGTCTGTGAACGTGAAGAAACTGTGAACTCACATTTTGTTCCACGAGAGCCTCCACGGTATACCCCTTCTCCGCCTGCAGGTACTTCTGATGAAACAGCTTCCCGTCAAATACATTCCAGGGCATGAAGTCACTCATCCTCCAGGGGAAGCCGCACGCGCTGTTGACCAAGACCAGAGTGGTGAGGCCGCGGACCAGGAGGGAGCCAAGCTGCACAGCTCGGGGGTCGATGTAATCAAGCTGTGGGGTGCAGACAGAGAATGAAAAGGAAGAGTCATGCACACGGGGATGCAGACACGCTGTACCTCGGCGCCGCATGGCAGCCACCTGGTGCTGTGCCCACCAGCCCCCTCGGGGAGCGCCGCTGACCACGGGGACATGAGGGGCAGCTGCATCACGAGTGTGCACGCTCATGTGCACACGCACCGTGCACACCCCAGACATTTGCCCAGGCCTGTGTGTACAACTCAGAACTGCCCCTTCACATGTCAAAGTTGCAGGCCACCAGGAAAATACTGCAAGTTCATCTGCTTCAGGTGTACCTGGAAAAACTTTCTTTAAAAGCAAAGCAAAGGAAGAGAAGCCAAGAGAGTACTGTTTGAGATACTGATGAGCTCACTGTATTCTTAAAAAGCACACTCAGTTGTTCTAATTAAAGTATTAATTATCTCATAGGGCTGATGAGTGGATAACTTTTTACAAATTAAGTCATGCAAATATAAAGTATTTCTTTTTGTTGTCAAATCTACCCTGACATCACACATTCTCACTGTGCGTGGACAGAGCCATGTCCGCTTCTGGGATGTGGGGCCCATGCTGACTGCCCACATGTGAACGGATAACCTAGCATGTGTCCACCGAATCTCTCGGTGTCTGGCTGACCACCACGGCTCAAATTAAATAGTGGCTATTTTAAATGTCACTGCATATCCAATACAGTTTACAAAACCAAAATAAACCATGAAAGAAGTCATAGACGTTTTATCCCCTTTATAAGTAAGGGTTCACTTCACTTAAAATAAAACTGATCATCATTTAAAGAAAGTTATCATGAGGGCACCTGGGTGGCTCAGTTGGTTAAGCGACTGCCTTCGGCTCAGGTCATGATCCTGGAGTCCCGGGATCGAGTCCCACATCGGGCTCCCTGCTCAGCAGTGAGTCGGCTTCTCCCTCTGCCCCTCTTCCCTTTTGTGCTCTCTCTCTCAAAAAAAAAAAAAAAAAAAAAAAGTAATCATGAACTGTGATTATCCCAGAGTTAATCTAAGGTTTGTTTTGTTTTTTTATTAAAGATTTTACTCATTTAGAGAGCTCGAGAGAGCATGAGCAGGGGGAGCGGCGGGCAGAGGGAGAAGCAGGCTCCCCGCTGAGCAGGAAGCCTGACAGGGGACTCGATCCCAGGACCCTGGGATTATGAGCTGAGCCCAAGGCAGACACTTCACTGACTGAGCCCCCCAGACGCCCCACTCTAAGGTTTAATCAAAGTGTGCTTGTTGTACAGCACAGCTTCTTATACTGTCCTAAGAAGGGCAACCACGGAACAGGTTTGTGAGGCTGAGGGGCGCTGACTGATGAGAAGTGGATGTCCTCACTCCTTCTGCTCTGCAGGCACCTGCAGGTGAGGCCTGTGCTGGCTGGCCGCTCCCCATCACGCTACGTGCCTCACCTCTGGCCCTGCAGAACTCTCCGCCACCTCACTGTGCATCGAGCTCTTGCACTTCCCCAACTATACATGTGCTGTCACTGTCTGGAACTGCCCCGTCCTAGGGCTCAGGGTCACGTGGGGCTCAGCCCTCCTGTCTGGACAATGCACCACGGGATAACTGGACTCCAGAAGGTCCCATCTTCTCTACCTCCTCCTTGCAAACTTCAAGCAGCCCTGAGCTTCCGGAACCACCCCGGCCCCATCACTGTGGGCCCTCGCCCCAGCGCTCAGACCACAGTGACTACTCGGTGTCAGACCAGCCTGTGGGAAGGGCGCCCTGATAACAGATGTGATGTATTTTTTCCGCGCGCTGGGGGCACGTCTCTAATTTGGTAGATTTTTCTGTAATGGAATCAATTCTTGTTCCTGTCTTGTGTTCATCACTTCTGTACCTACCTGTCTGTTTTAAAGTAAATTATAAAGGAGGTATACCAGCCCCAAAGCATGGATCCCATGTGCACCACGTGAATTTTCACGAACCGTGCAACCACCACTTAGGCCACAAAGCACATGCTGCTAGTATCACAGAAGCCCCGGCTGGCCTCCCTGTCACCCTCACTGCCCCCGAAAAGTAAGCTCTAACCACTCCAACTGTAGCTGGTTTTACACGCTTGTGAATTTACAGGAACCAATCAGGCAGCGTGTGTCCTGCTGTCTCTGGCTTCTTCGGGGGACACTCTTCGTGAGGCTCGTCACACTGTGAGCAGCAGGGCTGCCCTCGCTGTCCTAGCGCACGCACCGCACACGGGCTTTCCACAGGGAATGCTGGGATTCTATGCGTGGCTCTGGGGATCACGGACAACTTTAAATGGGGAGTCTTCTTTAAGGTAGATTCTTTCAGAAATGTTGTGCCTGTCTTGGAGAGATTTTGTATAGATTTTTGTTTTTTGCTGTTTCATGTTCTTTCTTTGCTGTTAGTGTAAACATAAAAAAAACTGCAGGGTTATTTTTACTTGCTATTGTTCTATAGAATACATTTGGGTTGTATATGCTGACTCTGTATCTAGCACCTGTTAAGTCTGGTTACTAATTCTAAGGGCTGTGCTCTGTAGACATGATTTTCCATTTATACAATCATGCCATCTGTCAATGATGATAAGTTTTATTTCTTCTAAACCCTACGCCTTTTATTTCTTTCCTCAGACTGCTCTTCTTGCCAAGGCTCCCAGTTTAACAGAAGTGCTGAAAGAAGGTACCCTTGACTCACTCCCACTAGAGAGGAAAATCTTTCAATATTTCACCATTAAGTATAATTTCTGCTATAGATTTTAATCTTTGCTACATTAAGGAAGTTGCCTTCTAGTCTGAGTTTACTGAGAGTTTTTATCATGAACAAGTACTGAATTTAACCACATAGTTTTTCTGCACCCCTTAACAAAAACATACACTTTTTCTTATTTATTGTGTTATACCGAATCACACTGGTTTTCAATGTTAAATCGACTTTCTATCAATTTTATGTATTGCCAGATTCAATCTGCTAACTTTTGTCTGGAAGTTTTGAATTTATTTTCATGAAACAGAATGGCCTCTAATTTTCATGTGTTCTCTGTCTTTGGTACCAAGGTTTTGCTGGATTTGTTAAGACAAGCTGGATTAATAACCCTGATGCTGCTTCTTCCTGAAGTTCAGGGCTGTTGGCCAGGAGCCACTGGGATTTGCATTTTCCTTCAGAGTCAATGTGTTCAGTAGATTTATAACCATTTAGATTCTCTATCTTCTCATTTCAGTCTTATTATGTTGTTTTTCAAGGAATATGTTCATTTTACCTAACCATCCAAATTTACTGGTATAGTGTGGTTCCTAATATCCTCTGATTCTCTCTTTTTAAAAAAGTTTTTTTTTTTTTTTTAAGATTTTATTTATTTGACAGAGAGAGAGACAGCGAGAGAGGGGACACAAGCAGGGGGAGTGGGAGAGGGAGAGGCAGTCTTCTCGCAGAGCAGGGAGCCCGATGCGGGGCTCGATCCCAGGACCCCGGGACCATGACCTAAGCTGAAGGCAGACGCTTAACGACTGAGCCACCCAGGTGCCCCTAAAAAATTGTTTTCTTTATTTTAGAGAGTGAGTGAGCAAATGAGTGAGGAGAAGGGCAGAGGGTGAGGGAGACTCTCAAGCAGTCTCCATGCTGACTCCTCTCACCATGACCTGAGCCAAAACCAAGAGTCGGACACTTAAGCGACTCAGCCACACAGGACAGTTAATATGCCAGGCTTTGCTGGCCCTGTACAGTCTCTGTTGAATGTTCTTCTTTTTTAGAAACAACACTTTAAAAATATAAAAACCATTCTTAGCTTGCAGGACGGTACAAAAACAGGCTGTGGGCTGGATTTGGCCCACAGGGCCATTGTGTGCTGAGCCCTGTTCTCAAGTCTGCCACAGTAGGGTTTCTCTTTGCCATCCTGCCAATCTTCGTTTCAAATATTTCTGAAGCTGCCCATGCACACTTGACCCAGTTAGAGAGTCACTGGCACGCTCCTGGTGCTGACCATCACCCTCTCTCTAGTGAGGATCCCCACTCGAAGTCCACTTTTTCTCATCTAGTCACACCGGCTCCTTAGGGTGAGTGCACAGTGTACCTTGCCCTCATCTTCCAGCGTCCTGGCATCTCTCCACCTTAGACGTGTGTCTCGTAGGCAGCACATGGTTGGTTCGGGTTTATTTTGCAATGACAACAGATCCACAGGAAGCTGCAAAGGTTGTATGGAAGGTCCCACAGATGCACCCTCATCCCCCGCAGTGCTAACATCCTACATTCCACAGTGCAGCATCAAGACCAGGAGACGGGTCCTTCCACATGCACGGACATGTGTGATGTCACACACACCACCTGGCTAACCACCACTACCACCGTCAGATACGGAGCCTCCCTTGTGCAGAGCCCTGCCCTGCCCCAGCCTCCATCTCTCCAACCGTGGCATTCTGGGAGTGTAGCCGTGTGGGGACTGGCTTCCTCATTCAGCACAACCCCCTGAGATCCGCTCATGCTGCTGTGTGTGTCGGGCCCTCTCTCTCATGGCTGGCCCCACCCCACAGTGTGGACGGGCCAGCTGGTGTGAGCGTTTGCTTAGTTAAAGACATTGTTCTTGTTCCCAGCTCCTGCTGTCACATGTGCAGCTGCTGGGAACGCTCACGTCCAGGTCTGGGGTGAGCAGAAGTCTTCACTTCCGCGGGAAAAAGGCCCAGGAGGGGGACTGTTAAGGCATGCGGTAAGTGCATGCTTAGCTTCCTAGGGAGCTGACGCACCTATAGCCAAAGCGCTCCCACCGCCGCGTAGGAGACTGGTGTGCAAGTACCCATCCTCCTCGAGGGGCCTGCCGCGGTCACGGGGTGCGGTCTGGGCTGCTCTGCACCCGGCCCCTCACCACAGCTTTAATGAACGCTGAACAACCTTCCACATGCTTGTTTGCCAGGCAAACATCTTTTTCAGTGAAATGTCTGTTTACGTCTTTTGCCCACTTTTTAAGCGGACTGTTTGGTTTTTACTACTGAGTTTTGAGACTCCTTATATTTTCTACTTACAAGACCTTTGTCAGAC